TCCATCTGGATGAAGAAACAAAAATGAGATCAATTATCTAGATTTTTCTAAACATCTGGGTGTGTAGTATCACAGATAGGGTCTGCCTTTCTCTAAAGTTAAGGCGAAGTTTGACTTAGGTCTTCATGTCATGTGGGCTAAGATACACCTTACTTTGAATGTTCACATAATTACCATGAAGGCGTGAAATTTCTGGAATTATTTAAAAACCACCTCATATCTCTTCACTTTGCGTGTTTAGAGACAGCCTTTGCCAGTCTCAGTGCCAGCTGCTAGAATGCTTTACATATTTGGCTTTTTTCCCCTCTGCATTGAATTCAAGCTCTTTGATGTAAAATTTGTTTCCATTTGAGAACAGCAATTTCACTTTCTAAAAAAGGAATGTAATGCCTCATCAAAGTTACAGAAGATGTTTTAAACTATCTAGACTATAAAAAAGCAAGAACTTTTGGAAAGAAAAAAAAAGATTTGGCATTATAGGTAACCCACACGGAAATGTTAGATGAATAAGTAAATCTGGTCAAATCTGCTTTATGAGTAGTCAGTGGAAATCTCCCCTCATGCCACCTCTGCCATCTAAGCTGAGTACCCTTTTTCTGAAGCCTCTGCAGGGTATTCCGGCCCACTAATTTGGGACTGGGCCTATCCATTGAAGGCAATTCCCCATAAGACTTCAGAGATTCAGTATTGGATGGGATGAATCTCCTGTCTGACTCCATGTGACACTTATTAGCTGCTCTTTTTCCTCAAGACACAAACTGAGGCTCTCCACCAACCTGTCATGTGAAACACCTAAAAAACTGCTCTGCAGCTTCCAGTTACTTTCTTATTTAATGTCATCCATTGTGTCCCAAATCTGCCTTTGTCCTCCATACAATTGTATTGGCATTTCCCTCCATTACTTGGGATACTGATCATTAAGTATTAATAAGATAATGTTTTTTGTATTATGGGTTGATAGGCAAATAGGGACTTGAGACAAAGATAGCAATTGTTCATCATGGAGTTGCCTTCTGTAATAAATATCCTTTCCCTAAGGGTCATAATGGATTTTAGCCTGGTCATAAATAGATAACTTGGCCTGGAATTAAAGTGTAGTGCACCAATTGACAAATAGAAATGGCAAGCAATAGGATATATCAGGGTATATGAGGAAGCCATTTCGTGTAAATCTAATTCGGCCTGACTTTGTTTTTCCAAAAGGGCCTGACATGGCCATTGAGCATGCATTGTATGTCGGCTTTAAGCATTTGCTGTGGGAAGAACAAATGCCCTTAAGATAAAGGTGCAACTTCCCCCCACATCGGCATTTCCTTAAGGATAAGCCTCTTTCCCTAGGCTGGGAACTGACTGCTGCACTCACCTGTGACCACCCAGCTCACCTGTGACCACCCAGCTTGAGATAACAGGCCTGCCACCCTGCTGTGTCCACTGAGACAGACCTACCCACTGTGTCCATCAATTGCTGTGCCCACAGAGCAGTCTCATGACTATTGTAAAAGAGACATTTCAATCATATGTGAAACATCCTCTTTGAGGGCATATAATCACTCTGTAAACTCTACTTCTTTGGTGTCCTTCCTTCCTTGGGGAAGAAAGGCCCTGGGCCATGGTCCTCACATTTTGGCTCATAATAAACTCACCAAAATTTTCATTTATAGATTGGTTATGGATTATTTGTGTCGACACAATTGAGAGTTTCTTTAGTATGTTAATTGTGTACATGGCAAACCAAGCTTTGGAGATGCTGATGGAATCTTCTTGGGTAGAAATAGGACTTCTGGGCATGAACAGTTCTAACAACGTTCAGTACTAAAGAGGGCAATTAAAGAAACGTTGGACAAATCACTATTAGTGGAGAGACTGAGTGGTAATAAGTTCACTAAAAGAGTAAAAGAGAAGAAAATTAAGCACAAAGTTGGGCAACAGAGAAGGGAAGGACATGAACTAAAGGAAATATGTGTGTCAGTGGAGATAAACCACTCATTTCTATTCATTCAGTGAATATTTATTGTTCATTTTCTGCCAGGCATTGTCATTAGTCTTGGGGACATAGTTATGAATAAGACAGCTCAGGCAACTTCCATACTCAGAAACTGCCCGGGAGTGGATGTGTGCACAGAACCTTGAGAAAGTCCTGATAGTTTCTTTCAGAGCATAAGTCACGCTGTTTGAGTCAGAATCGATGGCGAAGCAGAATAGGGAAAGAGGCTGTGTGAGACCCTACTTGGACTTAAAAATCAGTGAACAAAATCAAAGCAGAAACCAGATTTTCTAGGACTCTAGGTAGCAATGAAAGTCAGGGAATCTTAGAAATAAAGACATAAGCAAATGGAAGGTGAATACACAGCGTTTGCCTTGAGGAACAAATAAAACAAACTGTCTCAAGGATCAGGGCTCCAAAAAGTCTGCAGACTGAAGTGTGGCACTGGGAAGGAAATGGTGCTATCTTCTAGAGCTGTGCCAGCTCAGCACTGTGGTGCTTATCTTTAACATGCACACAATGTACTGACAAGGCCAGGAAACTAATTACATAATCACTGGGTGAGAATAATCTGACTACTTTGTATTTTCATCTCACGTAGTTTGTACTCTGTGAATTCAACATGCTGTAATGGTTTCATCTCAGAGTTTGTGCTCTGAGAATTCAACATGCTGTAACAGAAATTATTTGATCCCCTAGAATGGACTGGGAACAAAATGGTAGCTGAGGATTGCCACCAGCCGGAGAATTTTTGGAAGGGCCATGAACCAGAAGCATAATGATGACAACACCACCCCCACCCTTCTGCCCCTCTACTTATACACTTACCATGCACCAGGCACTGTTCTAAGAACATTACTCACGTGACCTCGTTTAATCCTCACAACTAGTGAGGAAGATTCTAGCCTCATTTTAGAGAGGTAGAAATTGAGGCAAAGAGAAGCTGTATATGTTTCCAGGGTCATACAGCTAATAGGTTGCAGATTTTGTATTTAAACCCAAGACTTCTGGCTCCAGGATCAGACTTCTAACTACTACAGTAAATTCACTGCTTTCATTCCCACATGGTGAAAACAAAAATTATCCAAGAAATTCTGCCACATCATTTTGTAGTTGATTCATCTTACTTCCTTTTGACAAGATGGAAATCCAGACTTCTCAGAGCTAACTCAGAGTAGAGACTCAAAGATATTGGGATAATGATAATAGGATAATTCCTTACAAAAACGTGTTTTTGATTCAAACTCAAAACAATTCGGGTACTTTTTTCCCTCCTAGCCATCTCTGAATGTGTGGATGTGTCCTTATGTGATATTTGCATACACAGGAGTTTCAATGATTCATGATCAGGTCAGTCAAACGCTAGTTCTGCCCCCCCCCCCCCCCCCCCCCGCCAAAAGCAGTCAATCTTTGGTCTAATGACCAAATTTGACCAATTTTTTTGTCTAATGAACAACTAAAGTTGAACTAGCTCCGCTTACAGTAACAACGTCTGGTGAGGGTGTTCAATGTTAACTTTAGACACACTCTAAAGGGGAAGTATTGCAATATTAAATTGGGAAACAAGGACCACGGCGGAATGGCGAATCCTCACTGGAGATGAGCTCTGCGCATGGGTTGTATGTAGTGCTCTCTTACGTTTTTAGAGTGGCAGCTGAAGAGCAGATTGAATGGGATTAAAATATTAGCTTTCTCTTGTCAGAACACTGCCCCACACTGCTTCTTCCCCATTCGTTTGTTCTGTTATTGCCGTGTCTTATATTCAACAAGTCATTTCCCTTTATTAAAGAGAAACTGCATTTTATTTCTTCTATAATGCTTTTATTCATACCTGAATATGATTAAGTTGAATTTTCTTCACTTTCACAAAAATTAATGAAAACCAATTTCATGACCAATTTAGCATTAAATATGTGTTAGTCAAAAAAGTGTTAGCAGAGTAGTCCAGATTGGGTCTTTTGTGTGGTTAGAACAGCAGTGTTCAATTTTTAGTACAGCATGAATGAATGACAGGTGGGGAAACTTTGTCAGGTAGGTAGTCATGATTTCTGCATTTGTAGGAGAAAGTCACAGTGTTTTTCAAAGTATGGTCCTAGAACCACCTGCATCAGAATTACCTGGGTGGCCTGTTAAAGGTCAAGATTCCCTGTCTACATCCCTAACTGGTAAATCAGCATTTCATAGAGTGTAGCATGAGCTGCAACATTTTTAACAAGTTCCCCAAGTGAGTTTTGAGAAGAACGAAGTTTGGGAACCACTGCCTTGCAAGCATATATTTATATCTGTTCCACAAATGCAAATAGCTTGCCAGGCTGGTCCTGCAACAGAAATATGGATGTTTCCAGCTGGAAGGTCCCTTAGAAGTTATTTATGTCAATCCCTTCAGAACTTACCATTTTGCTATAGAGTTGCCAGACTTAGGAAATAAAAATACAAGAATCCCAGTTCAATTTCAATTTCAATTTCAGATACACAATGAGTAATTTTTTTAGTGTAGATGTGTCCTGTGCAATATTTGGAACATATTTATACTAAAAAGTTATTTGTTGCTTATTGAAAATTCAGGTTTAAATGGAAATTCTGTATTTTATCTGGCATCCTATGAGGAAATTGAGGTCCAGAGAGGTGGAGTGACATTCTACAATGCTATCCTGTCCCTAGGATTTCCAGCACTTCTTTCCTTTCTATGTTTGCTATAAATCATTGATTTCTGCTTTACTGAAGGCTTTCTTTTTTGACATGTAAATATTGTTGTAAAAATACATAACTATAGTATCAACTAACTTTCAAATGCCTAAAGATCTAGAATATTTACTTTATAACAGAGAAATTCATACACATCCAAATGTCTTTTCATAAGTCATTCAATGCTACTTTAGTTTGTCACAAGAAAAAAATGATAGAAACATGATTCTACACAATTAAGATGATTTTATATAGACTTCCTCTTCTTCCTTAGAACTTCCTGAAAGTCCTTTTATCTATCTATCTATCTATCTATCTGTCTGTCTGTCTATCCAATCATCTACCTACCTATCTCACAAAGAGTCATTGGCTGGCAAAGGGAACATGGGTAGAATTCTGAGACCTCAGTTCTGCCCATTTCCCAAATTGTGAGGTTCCAGGAACTGAGGCAGGCCAATCTGAAAACAGGATCCTAGAATATAAGTGGTTTGAGCATGGAAAAGCAAGGTTGCCCTTATGCTTTCAAAAAATGTATTTAGGGACAGAGCCAAGGAGTCATGTGTGGGGGAAGGGGGTCATGCCGCCTTCCATCTTAAGGATAGAAGGATCCAGACAACTTGTTAAAAATGTTTTATCCCAAGAGTGAATATTTAAAGGTAATTGGTTCAATTCATTCATGGGCTATATCTTTGGGTGCTAAAAGTGTGGCAATTCATTAAAAAACAAGAAAAAAACAGTTTGATATATTTGATTTTTAATTGAATTGATTCCCAGAGCATTTGGTCTAGTTTTACACACTCATCCAAACTGCATCATCCTCCAAAGAATTCAAATAGTTTGGGAAGAGATCATTAATTCATGCAGATAAGGGTGTTCACTGAATATAACAGGAACCAATTGTACTCTGCAACATGTTTAATATACAACTCTACTTCAAATACAGTACTCTATTTTGCCTATAGAAAAATCTTCTCAGGAGTAGTTATAGCACACTTGGCCTCCTCTTTATGCCCAATTCAGGTCCCTATAAATGCTATGGAAGAGGTTAAGAAGAAGCTTTATGTCAAGCATCACTTATCTTTATTACATATTTGTCTAATACAGGCTTCACAGAATGTTTTTTAGGCTTCTATTGAAATTAGTAGATATCAAAGGCCTTTCGTATCCATTATTTCATTTAATTCTTACAGCAGTCCTGTGAATATGCATAGCAATTATTATCATCAGATTCTAGATTTTATACGTTAGAAAATTGAGGCAGGCTCAAAGAGATGAACTAACTTTCTTGAGGTCACACAAGTATTGTGGCAGAAACCCATGTTCTTAACCTCCATTCTGTTACTGCCTACAACCATAGGTTCTTTACTCACCACAAGAGGAGCCAAATAAAAACTGGGATGCCAGGCTTATGGCAAGGAAAGGGTTTTTATTTCCGGTGATATCAGCCAGGAGATAAGAGAGAGTCCTCAAATTTGTCTTTTTTCATCTCGTCTCCCTTAAATAGGGGAGATGAGGGGTTTTAAAAATTTGTGAGGAATGTGTCTGCTTGTAGAGAGGTGGGGGGAGTCCGTGGCCTTGCTGGTCAGAGCTTTCCCACCAGCCTGTGTTCGGCCTTGGGACACTGGTTACAGGAAGGAGGAGGAGATGATATGGAATCCAGGTGGCTGTCCTTGGCCATCTGTCTCCATGGTAGCAGATAGTAGATTCTGGAGCCAGGGAGCTAGGGAGTAAGCAGGGAAAGAGTGCTTTGGTTTTAACCCCATATATGCTGAGTTTAATGTAGGGGAACTAATATCAGGTCCGGCACCAATTCCACCACCACCAAAACCACCACTACCACTTCTTACAGCTTCTCGTCCTCCTCTATCTATCTCTTCTTCCTCCACCATCTCTTCCTCCTCCTCCTCTTCAACCTTCTCATCCCCCAGTTGGATTTGTTGAGCTTAGTAGGTGCCAGGGATGATTCTAAGTGCTTTAAATACGTGTTTTCACTTAATTTGTACAATGACCTTATGATTGTCCTTTTAAACAGAAATGGAAGTCTAAGAGAGTGAATATCACACAGTTAATATGTGATGAGCCATAATTTGAACACAGGCCTTCTAACAGCTAGTTCATTGTTCTTTGATATGAATATCTGATCCACCAAAGCACATTACCTAAGTGTAATAATGCATGTTCTTTCATTGAAACAAAGGGAAAAAAATGTGATATAGAAAAAACATCTCTGGAACTTGTATTTCTTCTGCTTTGTTTGACTCTCATTTGATTTCCTCATAAGTTGAATATACCTAATGCTATAATGGTATTGTATAAATAATGGTTCAGGTAAGACCTTGAACATAAGGGATCAAAGCAGTATCCTGGTACTTACTGAAAGTAGGAGGCAAGTCAGTGTGAACGACAGTATTTCTGACTTAATACTAAACCTCAGAAGTTTGGATCTCCGAGTGCGGTTCTTATTCTTAACTCATTGAGAAGCTAGGTTTTACCCTAGAGCTGCAAACCAGGCTGAACCTGCAGGCAAGAGTTAAGTGGCTTTTGCTGAAGATCGTAACAGTGGAGACAGTAAGCCAGGCTTGTCATTATAGCATGTGGATAAAGTGCTGCTTTCATGCTTTGAGTGGTGAGAAAATATTAACCTGCCATAAACTCAGAAAGTTTGCAAGTGTCCTCACTCGCCAGTGTCTGGCAGATGTGCCTACAGAGCTTTAGTAGCCTGTTACAGCTGTCTTTAGTTTGCTTTGGATGAACTCTAGATGTTAAACTTCCATATAAATATCAGTATTTTCTACATATTCTTAATTATCCTCAGGTTGTGCCTTCTGGAACCTTACAACTTTCTATTTTAAATTAAGCTTGGAAAAACAACAAACTGCTTCCAGGCAGGCACTTCTTTTCTGGGTTGTAGAGGGTAATTATACATGTTGCAGTGTGGGGTTTTGGAAGTACATGTAATATTAATATTAATGGATAGCTAGGACACACATTCTTCATCTCAATATAAGCAATGGTTTCAGCATATCTTGGGGGATTTTTCATTCTTATTAAGGAAATAAAGATATCTCTAGTTCATTTGTGTGAGACAGAATCGATATTTGAGCTTCTTGGACTTAAATGATATTCCATATGTACCACCTTGTTTCATTTTCTCTAAGTGCTGTTTCAACATAGTGGTTGAAAGATTCATTCTGAAGATCATTCTTGCCATCCCTTGTTTTAGGGAAAAGATATAGGATGAGTAGAAAGACCACAAGAAGTGGTTGCCCAGTATGAACAACATTTCCCTTGGGAGCATTTGTTGAAAGCAACCAGAGGCAATTGCTGAACATTGTGGTTGCCTGAGGGGGGAGATAATAGTGGTGCTACACAATAGACTGCCAGCCCTGGTGGTCTAGCGGTTAAGATTTGGCACTCTCACCACCACAGCCTGAGTTCATTTCCAGGTCAGGGAACCACACCACCCACCTGTCAGTTGTCATACTATGGCAGGTGTGTGTTGCTGTGATGCTAAAAGCTATGCCACCAGTATTTCACAGCAGGGCCACCCATGGTCACCATGGTGGACAAGTTTCACCAGAGCTTCAGTCTAAGACAGACTAGGAAGAAGGACCTGGTCACCCACTTCTGAAAAAATGGGCATAAAAACCCCATGAATAACCACAGAGCATTGTCTGGTATAGGGCTGGAAGGTGAGACGATGGCACAGAAAGACTGGACAGGGTTCTTCTCTGTGTACACAGTGTCACTAGGAGTCAAAAAAAACTCAATGGCACTAACAACAAAACACAATAGACTAACAAAAATTAAGAGAATTTGTTGCTAGCATATCTGCCCTACAAGAAATACTGAAGAGAGTCCTTCAGGCTAAAATGAAGAGAGATAGACAATAACTTAAATCCTCATGAATAAATGAAGAACACCCAAAAGGGTAACATAATAGGAAATAGTATAAATTTATTTTTATAATGTTTTTCCTATCTGATTTTATGAAACAGCTGTACGAAGCAATAACAAAAATCTTTGCTGATAGGCATACAATGTATAAAGATACTCAATATCATTACTCACTAGGGAAATGCAAATCAAAACCACTCACTAGGATGGCTATAATCAGAAACATGGATAACAGGGGCTGGCCCAGTGGTGTAGTGAATAAGTGTGCTTGCTCCGTTTTCAGCAGCCCAGGGTTCGCAGGTTTGGATCTTGGGTGTGGACCTAGCACCGCTCGTCAAGCCACACTGTAGTGGCATCCCACAAAAATAGAGGAAGATTGGCACAGATCTTAGCTCAGTAACAATCTTCTTCAATCAAAAAGAGGAAGATTAGCAACAGATGTTAGCTCAGGGCCAATCTTCCTCACAAAAAAGAAAAAAACCCCACAGATAATAATAATTGTTGGCAGGAATGTGGAGGAAATGGAACCCCCTTACATAGATGGTGGGAATATAAAAAGCACAGTCTCTTGGAAAGCAGTTTGGAAGGTCCTTAAAATGTTAAACATAATTACCACATAACCTAGCAATTCCACCCCTAGGTCTATGCCCAAGAGAATCTAAAACATATGTCCACACAAAAACTTGTACATGAATGTATATAGTAACATTATTCATAATAGCCAAAAAGTGGAAACAACTCAAATGTCCATTAGCTAATGAATGGATAAACACAATTTGGTATATCCCTACCATGGAATATTAATGGAATATTATTCAGTCGTAAAAAAAAAAGGGAACAAAGTACTGATTCACGCTACAGCATGGATAAACCTAGAAAACGTAATGCTAAGTGAAAGAAGCCAGACACAAAAGGCAACATATTGCATGATTACAATTGTATGAAATGTCCGGAATAGACAAACCTGTAGAGTTAGAAAGTAGGTAAGTGGTTTCCTAGGTCTGGATGGCAGAGTGAAGAGATCATTGGTGGATGAAGGCTAAAAGGTACACAGTTTCATTGGGGCGGGGGGATGAGAATGTTTTGGAATTAGATAGTGGTGATAGCTGCAGACTTTATGAATATACCAAACACCACTGAATTGTACACTTTAAAGAGGTTAATTTTATGGTACGTAAATTATATCTCAACAAGAAATTGTATGAAAAAAAGAACCGATGTGTAACAAAAGGTTAGAGAAAATATATCAAAATATTAATAGCAAAAACAAAAGTTCAAGAAAATATTTCTCCCTTTTTAAGGATTCTCTGCCATTGATGATACTCAACACCCTAGTTAGAAAATGAAGGTAAAATATCTGAGCAGAGAAAGGTCATTAAGAGGAAATTATTTTGCACTCCACTCTACTGTTAAATCTTTTGAGTATGCCAAAAAGAAGTCCAGGGGCAAGGACGAGAATCTGTGCCATTAGGCCACATATGACCTGTGATTTTTTTTACATGGTTTGGTTAAAATGGTTTTCCTTTTGTAAGCAACTAGAGAGGTGACAGCTTTCAGAGTTATGATATTGATGTTAGAGGACAATTAAGATTTAAACAGTTGGATAGTCATCCCTGAATTAGCTCTTTTATCTGTATATAAGATTTATTCAGTTTAATATATGTTTGTATGTGTTATTTCAATAACAAAAGGTTACGAGAATAAAAGGATCATGCCACATTCCTGTGGTATTTAAGATCCTGGAATGACTACCACTGCACTAAGGATAAATCCAAACAGTGAACCCTGGCTTACAAGGTACCACTTGACCCAACTGCCTGCTTCTCTAATCTCATCTATCACCCCTTCTCACACCTCTGCAGGCATCTTCCTTTCATTACCGGACCCTTCTCCTCTTGGGTCTTTACCCTTGTGGTTTCTCTGCCTTAATAGTTCTTCCCTCAGTCACATGGCCAGCTCCCATTCAGGTCACAATTCAAACTGTTACCTCCTTAAGTGATTTTTCTCAGATTTCACCCTCTATTGCATTGTTCCATTTTAATGATTTTTTTCATAGCTTTTTGTTGAATTATTTTATTTGGTGGCCATGGTGGTGGACAGCTGAGGAGGAGGCAATTCTCATTCTTTTGGTGCAGGTTGACCTCTCAAGATACACCCAAACTTGTTCAAATCGAACAAGAGAAATGCCTTGAAAACACCACTTCCTCAGAGTGTTGAATCTGCCATCCATACCACTGCCAGGAAGTAGCTCATTCTCTGAGGCAAGGAAAAGTCGTAAAAAAAAGGATTGAGAATTTCAGCCAATCTCGCTTAGATGGGAGTAAAATGGCTGTGATGGTTTCTCGCATTTTCCTTGCTTTTGATAACCTTAACATTTCTGAGGATTACTGATAGGTATTTTGTAGAATGTCCCTCAATTGGGATTTTTCTGACGTTTTCCTCATGACTAGACTGGGATTATGGGTTTCGGGGAAGAAGACCACAGAGGTAAAGTGCCATTCTCACCATATCACACCAAGGGTTCACTCTACCCACATGTCTTATCACTGATGATATTAACCTTGATCCCCTGGCTGAGATTGTGTTAGTTTCCTTGACTGTAAATTTACTAATTTTTCTCTTGTTGATAGTCTGTGAAGCCCACGCTTAAGGACTGAAAATTATGCTCCACCACCTTGAGGGCAGAGTGTTTACATAAATTATTTGGGATTCTTTTTCATGAGAGATGTATCTCTTTTCCTTCCTTTATTTATTCAGTCACTTACTTATATCACTATAGACTCATGGTTATATATTTTATACTTTGAGCTGTAATTTAATACT